CTCCAGGAACAGGATTGGCCACCCCTGCTCTTCGGCATACCTCGGTTGTAACCAGTGGTTATTTGTGTCACTGTTGCCTTTCTATCAGCTCGAACCAGTCAGGCCATTCTCCTCTGACCTGATCAACAAGGCATATGCGCCCACAGAACTGCCGCTCACTGGATATTTTCTCTTTTTCGGCCCGTTCTCTGTAAACCCTATATAGTGAAAATCCCAGTAGATCAGCAGTTTCTGAAATACTCAGACCAGCCTGTCTGGGACCATGCTCAATGCACTTAAATCACCTTTCTTCCCCATTCTGATGCTCGATTTGAACTGCAGCAGATCGTCTTGACCATGTCTACATGCCTAAATGCATTGAGTGATTGGCTGATTAGAAATTTGCGTTAACGAGCAGTGGCACAGGTGTACCTTATAGTGAGCATTCCAATGCACTTCTCCATTATTTTTCAAGCAAACATGCTTGATGGAAGTGTGTGAATGCTACACTTGTGTCTTAGAGAATGGGACAGACTCACAGAGAACACAGTAGAAGCCTGAGATCTTGATTGCCTCCAGACTGACGTTTTAATCTCGCGGTTGTTACTGTTATGATAATTGTCCATGAGACAGTTGATCAAATGCTGACAGATAAAAAAGCGCAGAGGGACGTTTTTTTATTTTTATTTTTTGTATCGAGCCGACAGAGCTCCTCTTGGTGTTTATGGGCTCTGCTGCTGAAGAACATAGTTACACTTGTATTTATAGCCGTTGTGGTTTGGTCTTTTTGTAACGGGATACTGTGTAGCGCTGGAAGCCAGAAGAGCTCAAAGATGAAGCCCCGGCTCACTATTTTCACTATGCTGACTGTGATTTGTGCTATCGTACACAAACACTGGAACGTCATTACGGCAGATGTTGAGCTGAAAGCCGTAAATGATGTAAAGCAGACTCGGATGAGAGAGAAGGGGACAGAGAAACAATGCTGGAATTTACAGACTTCAAGTGCATTCTGAAAGGAAAGACGTCTTAGAAAGCTGTGAGTAGACAGTTAATATGAGGCTTTAACATCCGTCAAAGATTTTGATTCCAGAAAACGTTCTGTATGGTTGAAAAAGGGGGAGAACACACGCATAGGCGCACACGCACACAGACACACACACACACAAACAACACAAAGACAAACAAACATATCTGTACACTAGCAGACAGAGATGAACACAAAATGTGCACACACATACACACTCACACACACAGACACACAAACAGACACATTCACTGGCAGACACATAAACCCTCGGACACACACACATAAACCCACAGACACACATAAAATACACACAATAACTAATACACACAAATGGACACACACACACAGATACTCACACAAAAAGACACACACACACTCACACACAAAACTATGTACGCACACAAACACATGCACACACATAAACCTATGGACACACACACACACACACACACACACACACACACCACACACTGGCAGAAACAAACTCATGGACACACACACAAACAATCACACAGACACACAAACACAAAACAACTCACACTAACACACACAAACGAACATGCATACACACGCGCATACACACAAATGGACACACACACACACACACACACACACACACACACACACACACACACACACACACACACACAGATACTCACACAAAAAGACACACATCACACAGACACACAAACACAAAACAACTCACACTAACACACACAAACGAACATGCATACACACGCGCATACACACACACACACACACGCAAAACCCACAGACACACGCACTAACACACGCATACAAATACTATCTCATGCACATACACACACAGACTCACACAAATACTAGTACACACACACACTGACAAACAATCCCACAGACACACAAACATAAACATATGCACACTAACGCACACAAATCAACAGGCACACACACAGAGACACACAGACACTCAAATACGAATACACTAACAGAGACATACAAATACCAACACACAAGCACGCACGCACACACACACACACACACACACACCTTCACCACTCAAGAAACATTTTCATTCCACAAAACCTTTATGGTTGAAAATTTGTTCATTCATTTTCTTTTCGGCTTAGTCCCTTTATTAATCTGGGGAATGAATCGTCAATTTTTCTAGCATATGTTTTAAACAGCGGATGCCCTTCCAACCGCAACCCATCACTCGGAAACATTCATACACACTCATTTAAACACATACACTACGGTCAATTTAGCTTACCCAATTCACCTTTACCACATATCTTTGGACACAGAAATGCCAACTGACCCAGCCGAGGCTCAAACCAGCGACCTTCTTGCTGTAAGACGACTGTGTTACCCACTCTGTCACCGTGAATTATTCTCTGAAAGGTTGGCTCTTGTGAGCCATTGCTTTAGAACCCTCTTTTAGAACCTTTAGTGGTGTAAATAATACGAAAGAATAATAATATCTAACAAGAAAATCAGAATCAACGTTTCTACTCCGGCTTGTTAAAAAAAAGTGTTTACACGCATCTATTTACAGCTGAAGTCAAGCGTGCCGTTCACTCTGAAGGCTTTTTTGAAGCAAAATATAAAGATAATGGGGAGTTTAAACCACCATTAAGTGGCTGGAAAAAAGTTGTGTGTCATTTCAATCACCTGAGACCTTTGTCCATCTTCAGAAAACAAATTAAACTCTCTTAGATAAAACCTTGGAGCTCTCTCATCCTCCATATACAGCTAGGCTCTTGAGACATTTAAGTAATGAAATGAAGTGTACATTTCTTCAGATAAAAGCGAAAAACACACTGTAAAAAATGCCGGGTTTTCAAACAGTTCCCTCATGTTGTCGCAAAACAAATAGATTAAGTGAAGTTTAATTATAAACTTCGAAAGGATCATGTGATTATGATTGACCTTGATTGATTTTGAGTTCATTTCACATTGACTTTTAATAAAAAGGTTGCGTATCACTGGTGGTATCGTAGACTAACAATAACGGCAACAAGAAGAGTGTGTCTGTGACCACAAAGCTCATTAGCATCCCATCGTCCCCTTTCCTGCCCCGCTCAGGTATGGTTTCTATTTCACAGTACCTAAAACAGAGAGCAGCGAAGGAGAGGGAGGGAAAAAGCTTGATGGAAGTGATTTAGTGCTCAGGGGACAGAGAGAAGGAGGGGGTTAATCGGTTAAGCAGAGGAAAAAAACGGACTGGAGAAGGGGGACTGGCTACCGTCTGGGAGGTAGATGCCCTCGGCTGCTTTCTGCTGACTTACATACACACGAACAGGAAGCCGTGCGAGGTGCCCAGATGCCTCATGCTCTGATATGCACACTTGGGCTGCGTTTATATCTGTGAACAATGGATTTGCACCTCGCCTTGATGCTTTCCATCGTTTCACCTGCGACTGTGCTGGTTTCTGCCTCGCACATGTAGCTTTTGCACCTTTCTGCTGCACAGGTCAAGTTACTGCTGTTTGGGCTCATGTGGACTTCTGCTCGTGTGAATTTCATGAACAATGTCAGGGGATTTCCAAGTCATATTTCATCCCAATATCAAAAGAAAAAAATCTGACTTTATATTTATCAAATAAGTCAAAAAATATTATAAAAATACAATTATCACAATCTATCTATCTATCTATCTATCTATCTATCTATCTATCTATCTATCTATCTATCTATCTATCTATCTATCTATCTATCTATCCATCCATCCATCCATCCATCCATCCATCCATCCATCCATCCGAGTGTTTGTCCATGGTGCAGCAGCGGTGATGTGTTGTTGTGAGATGTCCTCAGCTGTAGTCATCAGAGCCATCCATCCATCCATCCATCCATCCACAATTCAGTTGACACATATTCATATTATAAGAATAAGCAAAAATATGAAGTTATACAACATTCTTAAAAAATTATAATATATATATATATTTATCAGCATATCATTATTATATAACATTATATTATATAACATTATATTATATTATATTTTATTACATTACATTACATTACATTATATTATATTATATTATATTATATGATTTTTCAGTTACACAAATGAAAACTTCCTTAATATCAGTTTCTTACTGTTAAGGAACCACACAAAAAAACCTTTATTCTTTTTAAAAAAAATTTTTTATTATAAATATTTCAATTAGGAATACACTCATAAAAAACATTCCTACACAATCATTAAAATATGTCAATCTATATACGTGTTTCTGTATCCATCTATAAGTTTTCTTTTTTTATTATGTCTCAAGTTGCACATATATCTATATTTTACAATGTATGAGTCAAAATTATTAATTTTCCCTGTATACCAAAAATCATTCAAATTTGAACTAAAAAAAAAAAATAAATAAAAATATAAATATATATATATATATATATATATATATATATATATATATATATATATATATATTAGCAAGACATTCTGTAAATTTCCTACCGTGGAGAGTATTTAGTAACTACATTTTAGAAATATGCACTGCTAAGCACTTCATTTGACAACTTTAAGGGTGATTTTAGCAATATTTAGATTTTTTTTGAACCCTCAGATTCCACATTCCTTAAATAGCCTAGTTGTATTCCAGCCAAATATCCCAACAAAACCTAAATCAATAAAAATTTATTCATATATTATACACTGTAGATAATCATATATTCATATAAATAATGTATAAATCTCAATTTCCAAAAGGTTACTCTTAAGACTCTTAAGGTTTTGTGGTCCAGGGTCAGAATTAATTTCAGCACAGATTTCCAGACTGACACAGACAAAAAAAATGCTGTTTATGAAATGGATAACCGATTTCTAAATGTGCAAATAGCTCCATCACCCTTTTTTCCCGAGTACAACTCTGATCAAACAAAAGACTATATTAAAGTTAAGAAACACAGTAATGCATCAAACTGGAAGCACAATGAATTTCGAAACGTTTTGTTTTATGTAGGATACTTATCAGGCTGTTCTACATCTTTTCAGGGCCCCCTGGGAAACGTGGACGGATGGGCAGAAGAGGCGACCCTGGTGAGTGTGATTTCTTCATTCATGCTCCCTACGCTATTCTAAACAAACACAGTTACTAATGTGCTCAATTCATAATCATTAAACGTGACGGGGAGGAAGTTCTCATCCAATGTGGTTTTGAGTCACAGCAGACCCTCAGATGATTCAGAGGAATTAAACTCAGACTGATGATGATGCGTCCAGACTAAAAAGATACTGTTTTTATGTTATTCACACATGTGGGCCCAGATTCAAGGAGCTTCTTAAGAAAAGAATGATTCACTAGCTGCGTGTTCATCCACCTACTTTGCACATTTTGGAATATTACATGAAATAAACCCTGAATGGGAAAGCCAATATGCAAATAAACACACTATGCATACAACTGAGCATGATGAACTTTTTATCCGATCAGGAAAAATTGGCATAACTACAATGGAAACGCAATTACCGAATACATTTCAGCAAGCGCGTCAAAAAAAGTCATGGGATTTCGCTTCAACAGATCATTTGATAACAGAAATGTTGGAAAGTGACAGGTTTGTTTGGGTGGACAATGAGGTACTTCAAACATTTTTAAATGTTATATACGAGATAAAAAGTAACAACAATGCGCAAATCTTCCCAACATTCCAAAAGAGCAGTCTCCTTCCTCAAGGCCCGGATTGGCTAATTGGAGAATTCACGGTGGGCCGGTCCGTTTTTTGGCTGCAAAGGCCGGTGTCCCTTGCTGCTTGCACTCTCAGCAGTCACACTCTTTTCATTTATTCATGTATTTGACCATAGCCTGATTCTTTTTATTCATTATTTTGCCGCAGCTCTGCTCTTTTTATTTATTTTCTCGCAGCCCCGTGAGCAAAATGCAGCCGGCAGGGTAATCATGATGTAATAGTAAATCATCATTCGACCCCGAACAGCGGCACCTTAGTGAATATAAGATTTAGAAAATTTTATATTAATGAATAATACACCTGCTCAATGAAAATCAGATAATTCACTAATTAATAAATCTGATATAATTTGATCAGAGATCTTAAAGATCTTAATCTTAAACAACAGCGCCATTGTGGTCCAGTGGTCAGTGTGTTGCAGGGCCGGAGTGGGACTACTTTCAGCCCTGGAGCTTCAAGCCTCAGACCGGCCCACCTCAGTTCACGACTGACTATATTAAAATAAGGTCTTTCCAATTCAGTTTCTAATTACACTATCACATCTTTTTTTTGAGAAACAGCTGCTTTAGAACTTCAAATGTTCAAAAACCCTAACAGTATTAAGTCTTAACAATAAAAAAAAAAATAAATAAAAAAACCTACTTACAGGAGGATCAAACCCAGGTCCGCAGTGTTGTAACCTAATGTGCTAACCACTGGACCACAACAGCTGTGTATTAAGAGGTGGCTCGTCTGAGTTATATCATCGTTAAAAAAAGAAATATATAAAAATATATATAAAATATATAAAAAGCCAATCCGGGCCTGGTGTGTTGTGTTACTACACAGCCGACCTGTGTTCGAGTCTCACCTGGATATGTATAGTTATAAATTTTTCATTTTTATTGTTAAGACATATAATACTGTTAGGGTTTTTGAACATTTGAAGTTCTAAAGCAGCTGTTTTCTCGAAAAAGACGCGGTAGTGCTATTAGAAACTGAATTGGAAATGACCTTATTTTAATATAGTCAGTCGTAAACTGAGGTAGGCCGGTCTAAGGCTTGAAACTCCAGGGCTGATAAGGAGTCCCACTCTGGCTCTGCCTGCCTCCGAAAGCAAGATGACTTGACTGCACACTTTGCGTTTTGTGTTATAAGCATACCTGTCAACCCTGCCGTTTTTCCCGGGATTCTAAAGTATTTTACAATTCTATCCCGCTAACATGCTGTAAAGGAATTTTCCCATATTTCTCCTGTATTTTTAATCTATCGTTTTATGAAGGGTGACAATAAACATTAAAGAGCCAATCCTCCCTATACGCAACCCATTCCGCCGAACCACTAGGGGACACCCCTTACTCTTAAATGCAAGTCTGTTCTTTGCTTTCATTTTATTTAGGCATGAAAGCACCATCCAGCACCTGTGCACCTATGCAAGTATGTTAGCCATACCCAATACCTCAGACAGATGTAATCTGAGAGTTTAACTGAAAACAAAAAGGAAGTGCATTTTCAGATTTTAATTTTACATTACAAGGGATTTTTTTTAATGACATGCAAAAATGAATAGTTCACCACAAAACTAGCAATGTGAGCTAACAAAATCAATAAGGCTAGTTTAGATTTCATGTGTACTTTAAAAAGATGTCCTGAAAACATCCGTAATATCAGGTATGCTGTAATAATATTATCTTTGGATGATGTCGAACCTATATTCACCTCCTGACCAGATCTGATTAAATCTGAGATCCCGGTGTTCCCTTGCAACTGGCGTTTGGACAGATTGGCAATTCTTTACATCTGTTTTGCAAACTTGTTCCAGCTCCGCTGCCCTGGGAGAGAGACTTCAAAAGCTGGCAGAACGCTTTATTTACATGGAGATAGTGGCTCGTTTTGTCACCAAGTCTGCTGGATGTGGTTCTGTTTAGTTGTGCCTGCTTGTTGCAGTTTGAGTCGTAAAGCGGGAAGGGAAGAGTTGAGTTTTGGGCAGATGGATGGAGGAGGTCCTCCGTTGCACAACAGTCTGTTTGTTTCTGTAGTTTGAGAAGGAAAATCTGGTTTGAAAGCTGGAAGATATTTAGCAGGCTAATCAGCGCAAACATCAGGCAGGTTGCATACATTTGTGATAATTCAATCGTTAAAAAGCGCTCATTCAATTAGAAATATCATCCATTAAAAGATAGAGCCAGATAGGGCCGGAGTGGGACTCCTTTTCAGGCCTGGAGTTTCAAGCCTTAGACCAGCCCACCTCAGTCCACCTTCAGATTTTCCAATTCAGTTTCTAATGACACTATGGTGTCCTTTTCAAGGAAACAGCTGCTTTAGAACTTCAAATGTTTTTCATAAATATGAGAACATTAAAGGGTCGCTAAATCTCCAACACTTCATATTATGTCATTACTTAGTTTTGTATACTTGCAAGCCTATCTTAAAAAAATAGAAAAAAAAAACATATAATAATTAAATATAAATAAAAAAATATAGAATTAAACGATGATATTAATAATAATAATAATAATAATAATAATAAATATATATATATATATATATTTTTTTTAATTATTATTATTATTGTTAATTATTATTAATAATAATAATAATAATAAATAAATAAATATATATATGTATATATATATATATATATATATATATGTATATATATATATATATATATATATATATATATATATATATATATATGTGTAATGTCACAATGTCACAATGTCCTTTCTTGCAGTATCTGAATATATATTCTGTGCAAAATTCTTTATAGATGTCTAGTCCTTTGTAACAGTGGTCACACAAAAAAAAATTAAAATAAAATATGTACACCTACCTGTACGTAAGTAACCCAAACAGTATTATATGTCTTAAAAAAATGACTCAAGTGAGGCTCGAACTCGGGTCGGCAGCGTTGTAATGCAACGTGCTGACCACTGGACAACAATGGCGCTGTTAAGCAGATGCGTTTGGAATAACAAATAAGTATTGCACTGTAATCTGCAAGACTCTTTTAACCACAGTATCTTTTTCTCCCCTTTTTAGATTTGTGATCATGTTATGTCAGATTTGTTAATGTAGTGAATCTTTTGATTTTCATTGAGCAGGTGTAAAATTCATTAATATTAATTTGAATGATAGTTACATCATCATTAACCTGCAGGCTTGAATAATTAATTTTCCTTCAGCTTAGCGTTTTTGTAATCAGGGATCACCACAGCAGAACGAATTGCCAACTTTGCCAACTTATGTTATACACAGAGGATGCCCTTCCAGCTGCAACCCAGCACTGGGAAACATCCATACACTCTCACACACCTACACTATGACTTTAGTTCGTTCAATTCACCTATACCTCATGTCTTTGCACTGTGGGGGAAACTGGAGAAACTCCACATGAACACGGCGTAAACATGCAAACTCCTCACAGAAATGTCAACTGACCCAACCGAACCAGCGACCTTCTTGCTGTGAGGTGACAATTACTGAGCCACCGTGTCGCTCATATGTCACTGGAAATGTCATTAGTGTGAAAAGGAACAAAAGTACTGCCTCCTAATGTTCGTTTAGAAACTGCAGTCAGACCTTTATGTACTTTTTGTGGTTTCCAAAACATGTAAGCCGAAGCACATTTCTTCAATGAGCCTGTGTTGTTAAGATAATCTTTTTATAAAACAAGTTTAATTGTCTTGCTTTTCTCCCACTTTTTTTTATTTCTCTATCACCATTGTTCTCATAAATACTTTCCAAATGGTGAAGCTGTTAAGTTCACAATGGTCAGAACTTAATGAATGTTGAACTCTTAAGACGAGAAAGCAAGTCTGCCAGCGTCTAGACCCAAATACCAACAACTTTCTGCCTCATAAAACTTCAACGCGTCACTTAAACCTCTTTGTCTCCTCTGAGGGTCATAACACATCACTAATGTGCCATAAAAAAAGAAAACATTTGTTTTGAGCTACGGTAAGAGTGTAACAGGGTTTTGTTTTTTAATTATTGAGGTTAAAAAGATGATTGACTTTGTTTTTTTACACATCTCTGAAACACATCATGTTTTGTTTTCTGTATTTTTCAGGACCCCCAGTAAGTACCTGATCTTTACATTTCAAAACAATAACGTCTTGCAGAAATGAGGTCTGGATATTGGTAAGACTGACAATATGACAAGTTCTGGCATCTTTCATACCTTCTGACATGCTTCAACTGGTAAATGTTTACAATCTTCTCATTTGAGCTTCCAAAAAAGGCGTCTAGAATATTCATTTCAGTGCTTCTAAAATTCTAGAATGCATCTAGAATAAACAGTAACATTTACGATATACTAATATGCTTCAGTTAATAATATGATTATACTAATTCATTCTCAAGTACCAAATAGATTTCAAATGGATCTTGACGTATGATTCGTAAAGAACGAAAACCATTCTTTACTTCTTTTACTACATCAACATCTGCTAATCTGATAAATAGACTGAGAGAGTGATGTACACTACCTGACAAAAGTCTTGTCGCCTATCCAAGTTTTAGGAACAACAAATAATAACTTGACTTTTAGTTGATCACTTGGTATAGTTATATGAAGGGCAAAGCCCTCTAGATTACGCTTATTTGACCTAATAAAATATAATGGCAAAGAAAGCGTTCTTGCAGGACTCCCAGAGTTCATCAAGATTCTTTAGGTTCATCTTGAATGCCTTCTCCATCTTAACCTAGACATACTCAATAATGTTCATGTCTGGTGACTGGGCTGGACAATCCTGGAGCTTCTTGATCTTCTTTGCTTTCAGCAACTTTGATGTGGAGGCTGAAATATGAGAAGGAGCACTATCCTGCTGAAGAATTTGCCCTCTCCTGTGGTTTGTAATGTAATGGGCAGCACAAATGTCTTGACCTAACCTCAGGCTGTTGATGTTGCTATCCACTCTGCAGATCTCTCGCGCGCCCCCATTCTGAATGTAACGCCAAACCATGATTTTTCCTTTACCAAACTTGACTGATTTCTGTGAGAATCTTGGGTCCATGCGGGTTCCAGTAGGTCTTCTGCAGTATTTGCGATTAATTTTGATGCAGTTCAACAGATTGACCTTCTTGCCACTTTTCCAAATGATCAATTAGAAGTCAAGTTATTATTTGTTGCTCTTATTAACTTTTGTCAGACATTGACTCACTGACTCGCATAATAAGACTTTTATTTTATATTTAAAATACTTAACCGGCCAATGTACCAGCTCAAAAACACTTAATTTAAGAAACATTGTTAAATTATCAAGAAAAAGAAATATAAATGTTGGTCAGCATCTCACGATCTCTGGTGTAAAGTCATGGTTTTTATCTTTCCATCTGTTAATCATTAGCTAATGACGAACAAAAGTAAAATCATGTAATTAATTTATTTTTAATGCATGTCTGTTAACATATTAAGCAATACAAGTTGCTCTAGAATGTTTAATCGAGCAAGAATGAAAATGAGAAGTTCTGGAAGATCCACTGTTTCTGATTTGATCTTTCTAGAATCTTCACACCAACGTTAATCTTCCAGAATCCAACAAAAATGTGTAACAACAGGTTGCAGACTGAGTTTCACCTGCTTTAGATTTAGGTTCAAATCAAGCCGTCAGCACCTTGTTGCAAACAGATATGTGGCTTCCAATCCATATTTTAACAGGCTGCCATGAAGATTTCATTGATCTGTTTAATGCTTGCAGATGCCAAATTGTACGATAGCTTTTAACATTTGAACAGTTTAGACTTCCACAGTTGTTTTCGTGTCTGAGAAAAGGTCCAATGATTTGTTCACTCAAATATGCTACAATTTTAAGTCACTTAGATATTTAAAGTTTTTAATTATGTTGTTAATCCAGCTAATAAACAAACAAGATATTATTAATTTGCAGAAAAACTGACTGGTTGTAGAAATGGTTTCTCTATTGAAGTAATAAATTAATTTACTGCTTCTCTGTAATTACAAACGTTGCTGTTACATCATTTAAAGAGACGGTTCACCTAAAAATGAACATTTTCTCACCATTTACTCACACTCAAAGTTTTATGAATTTCGGTCTTCTGTTGAACACAAAACTAAATATTCTGAAGAATGGAGCACTTTTTTTACTATGGAAGTTAATGGTTAATAACTTATTTGAGTTTGAAACAAGAGGATGAATAAATAATGACAGAATTTAAATTTTTGGGTGAAATATCTCTTTGGATATGACATAGGATAATGAAATGTAGATTTGATCGTGCAGCAATTTTTTAAAGTAGCAATAAACAGCAAATATGCAATAAGCATAATAAGCAATTATATATGATGTAAGGGAGTTATAAAGGAGATCTGATCCCAATACTATAATGCTACAATGTAATTAACTGGAATGTACTGTATATGTATAAGACAAATTCTGATTGGTTTAAATTGAAATACTTTAGTTTATTTGAAATAATAATTTTCCATATATATATATATATATATATATGGAAAATTATTATTTCAAATAAACTAAAGTATGTGTGTGTGTGTGTGTGTGTGTGTGTGTGTATGTATGTATGTTTGAAATTATTAGTTTGATATATATGTGTTTGATATATGATTGTGACAAGTAATAGTTAAGATTCTGTCATTATTTACTGCACTTTTTACAAACTGATTATATACATTTGAAGTCAGAATTATTAGCCGCCCCCCAACCCCCTTTGAGTTTTATTTTCTTTTTTAAATATTTCCCAAATGATGTTTAACAGAGCAAGGAAATTTTCACAGTATGTCTAATAATATTTTTTCTTCTGGAGAAAGTCTTATTTGTTTTATTTCGGCTAGAAAAAAAGCAGTATTTCATTTTTTAAGCACCATTTTAAGGACAAAAGTATTAGCCCCTTTAAGCTATTTTTGTTTTCGATAGTCTACAGAACAAACCATTGTGATACAATAACTTGCTTAAATACCCTAACCTGCCTAGTTAACCTAATTAACCTAGTTATGCCTTTAAATGTCACTATAAGCTGTAATAGAAGTTTCTTGAAAAATATCTAGTAAAATATTATTTACTGTCATCATGGCAAAGATAAAATAAATCAGTTATTAAAGATTATTTATTAAAACTATTATGTTTAGAAATGTGCTGAAAAAAATCTTCTCTCCGTTAAACAGAAAATGGGGGAAAAAATAAACAGGGGGCTAATAATCCAGGGAGGCTAATAATTCTGATTTCGACTGTATATATAAATGTCTTTGTGTTCAACAAAAAATGTTGGAAACTGGTTGTCCTCCATACATTTCTATCGATATCAGCTGCTTACTGTTACCAGTATTTTTGGTAGAGTTCAACAACAACAACAAAAAAACTCCACGGTGATTTAACTTTCATTTTTGTGTGAACTATTTCTTTAAACTGAATTTTCTTAGGTTTTTATTTACTGATCATACCTAATTTTTCTTTGCACAGGGCAAACCTGGGCGTGATGGTTACCCGGTAAATGTTTTTGATTTTTAAATGATGAGCTTTAATCTTCCTCTCAAAACCCTGTTTTCCCTTCCTTTAATTTTACTATCACCTCCAGTTCCCCTCCTGTTGATCTAAACCTTTTCTTCTCTGTCCCACTAAATATCTGTGCAGCTCATTCAATATCTTTTAAAAGGAACATGAATTACACAGCTTAAATATCAAGAAAAGTGTTGGTAAAAGTGCCCTAAAAGTACTGTACACTGTATTTTTGTGATAACTTGCTGACAGCACAGTTGTTAGGAAGTTACTGCAATTGCCTGTTTACAGTAACTTACCTGTAAATGTGTTGTACGGTGGGAGGGCCCTACGGCAATTTAATTTTTAATTAAATTATTTTTTCTTTTTTAGAGAGAAATTGCTTTACCCTAACAACATTTTATGGTAAAATGCCCTTTACCACATTTTAATTTTACAGAATGACAATTTTTACTGTAATTCACTGTAAATCAATTCCAAACAAGTGACTATTTTTTTCATTAACTGTCTCACTTGTGTCTTCAACTACTACAGTACCAGCATAGATATATACACTAGATGTCGCCTGGCCTATTGTTGTCTATTGGACGGAGTGCGTCAATAGCGCCGCCATCTTGGTACAGGGTAGCGCTCCTTTTTAATGAATGCGGGACCAAGGTACAGTGGAGGACTGTGGCCATGCAAAGCCAGAGATATACACATATAGACATATATCTATGATCGGGAGTTTTCCTGGATGTCAGTATGTAATTTTGTTTTTCTAATTACGAAAATTATAATTTTACATCACTTTTCTACATTGATGGATCAGTGACCGCACGGGCATTCCTGACAAAAAGCTTGTGTTTGTGTGTACAGAAATGTACTATCCTCCCTCCCTGTTAAATTTGATCTAAACATGTCCTGAAACACACCTCCTCTCCTGCTTTCACTCCTTATACTGACGGAGGGAGCGATTCGTTTGTGAATGAATCCCCCGAACGACTCTTTCACAAACGTTAGCTGACAATAATACAAGTTTCTGGCAGCGCAGCATCTCGTTGTCATATTTCTTTTGCATTGTTTGCTGATTTTATTCAACAAAACAAGCATAAGCCGAGTGTTTAGTGCGAGTTGGTGCTGTTTTGCCATATGGTGAATGCAGTAAGAGACTGTATCATCATCACTTATCATCAATAACGTTACCTGATTAGCACAAAAGTTCATAACATACAAAAACAGAATAAAAAACCTAAATCTTACCTATGAAATGTTCTGCCTTTGTGCTTTGTTTTCTTTGTTTGCTCGTTACTACACTCGTAGACAGCGCTAAAGTCCCGCATCTTCACGTAATAACACTGTCTTGACTAGTGCGGTTGAATGACATTTGTCCTGGGAGCACTGTACCAAAGTGGTGGCGCTATTGACGCATGCTCAGGGTCCCTATGCGATATCTAGTGTATATATCTATGCAGTACCAGTACTTCATTACTTTGATTACAGTAGGATACCGCAAATTCCTAATATGCGGTAAGTTACTGTAAAAGTCTTAAAATAACCCACAATGCAGAGCATATTAGTGAGCTGTAAAGAATGTATGAGGCATTTTACTGAGCATTTCTGAAGTAAATAACTGTAAAATTGCGGTAGTGTCTAAGAGTGTACCCTTCATCATCATAGTCATCATCTATGATGAAGAATAAACCCTTTTGTTAGTAACATAGACGCTAATGACACTGAGTTTCCTGGAAAGATTGAAACCGCCGCTGGGCTCAATTACTCTGGTAATGGTGTTTCTCTGCTCAAACTGCTATGGATTCAACCCCATTGGCTAAAACTGTGTCCAGAACAGCAGGCCAGAGACACTTAGGACTCCTACTTTATAATTTCCTGCTTTCTTGAACCCCAAAAAGGAAAGTACTGGGAAAACAGTACTGTAGACAAAACACTCCATGTGCTCTGTGACATATGGACAGATCTGTTAAAGTACAACACACATCTGATGCTAGTTTTTTAATAAACGGACGTAACTCCTCCAAAGCTTGTTTGTACTCGAATGAAAATACATTTGCTCGGTAAACCGTGACTCATTATTGCATCTTGTATTTCATTTATGAAACAAGCCTCAGTCAAACAATCAAAAGGAGGGTTTATTTTATTTATTTGCAGTACCTTTGTCTATCCAGACACAAACATGAGATCATTTCAGATTGAATGGAATCATTGTTATGATTGTATATCTGTTCTAGAAGTGGTCTATATTTAAATGAATATAGAAAATGTATTCATTGTATCTGCCCAAAATTACACTGTTAGACTTTGGCGCAATTTTACAGTTATTTACAGCAAAAACACCCTGTAAAATACACATACATTCTTTACAGTTCACTACTGTATTATGCACTGCATTGTGGGTCATTTTAACACTTTTCCAGTAACTTACTGCAAATTAGGAATTTGCGGTATTATACTGTAATCAAAGTCATCCACTTCTGCTACTGTAGTTGAAGACAAAAATTAGACAGTTAATGAATGTTTGAAATATAGTGTGGTTTATTCATAAACTAACTTCGAGAGGATCACGTGCTTATAATCAACATGGCTGGCTCCTTGTTAGCTCCGTAATCAGCCCTATTAGATGATTACGGAAGCATTATAAATAACCTGAGTTTTTCACTCCAGTTATCTTCGTCTTGAAGCTTCCCCCCCCCCTTTCCACCCCTACATCCTCCCATTTTTTCTGTTTGGGCGACACGGTGGCCCAGTGGCTAGCACTGTTGCCTCACAGCAAGAACACTGCTGGTCCAACCCATCGGGCCGGTTGGTGTTTCTGTGTGGAGTTTACATGTTCTCCCCGTGTTCGCTTGGGTTTTCCCCGGGTTCCCCGGTTTCCTCCCACCATCCAAAAACATAAACCATAGCCAATCGACTAAAACAAATTATCACCCAATACAACCTGAGTTTACACTTCTCACGGTGACAAGCAGGGGAGTTCTCGAGACCTACCTGACCTCGAATTCCCCTCTCGCCCTTCTAACGGGAGGGAGCCCCGGGCTCGAGGATATTACAAGCTCAGGGCTCTCTCCCGGGACAGCATGCCAAATACGCTTTATTGATTATCAGCTAAGTGTGAACTCTTGAATTAAATTTAGTAGTAAATACTACAATAAAGGTTTTGTACTGCTAGCGTAAAATGTAAATAAATTACAGTAAAACTACTATTTTAATATAAAAATAATTTGTAGTAAGGCTATTTTACTGTAAAAAGTGAAACTGCCCGAGCCCTGCTACCATAACACACATTTACAGGTAAGTTACTGTAATGGGGCAGTTGCGGTAACTTGCTGGCAACAGTGCTGCCAGTAAGTTACCACAAAAATACAATAAAATATCTAACAGTGTACTTCATCTTAATAAAACCGAAAATGTGTATGACCCTGTTCTCTTCCAGGGCTTACATTTAAAGGCCTTTCTATCAAGGATAACAACATAATAATGAAAAATACTGTATATTGGGAAAAAACCTAAGCGCAGATAAAAGTGTTCTTCCAGTAGCATTGATTAAATGGAAACAAGCCTTCAGTTCAGTCTTTTTCTCCCCATTAATCAGATATTAAAAATACACAATTCCTATTCCTAAGGTAAAATTACCCCATTTTAAAACATGACATACTGTAGACATTATCCATGCAATGATTTTATGTGCAAGGATTTTTACCTGTGTGTTGTTTTTGTAAAGCGGAGCCAGTGTTTTGTCGTTTTGTCCAACCATGTGTGATTGTCCTACCTCTCATTCAAAAGTAGTCAGATCATTTTGATGAAGCAATATGCTAGTAATCAGATTTTGCTACCAGTGTAAATTTTCATGTGTAGTGTGATATGAAATTGTAATCTTACCCTAACCTACCTAATGCCTAACTTCAACCTCAGAACCATTCAAATACAGTGTTGGTATCATAATCTGATGGGTAGAATAAATGTCCGGACACCTTTTACGATTCTTTTTTTATTTTTTTCACTTACAATTACTCTAAACCAGGGGTGTCCACACTCCGGTGACCTGCTGAGTTTAGCTCTAACTTGCTTCAACCTTCACCTGCCATGAAGTTTCTGGTATATCTAGTAAGAGCTTGATTAGCTGGTTCAGATGTGCTTGATTAGGGTTAGAACTAAACTCTCCAGTACACTGGCCCCCCAGGGCCGAGTTTGGACACCCCTGCTCTAAACACTGCTCTGCTATGGTCCCAAGTTTCCTTATTACTTGTTGAAGTGTGCAATAAATGTATCAATAAAACTAATAAAATTGTTTCATTTATGGATTGGATTATCGGAAACAGACAAAATAACTGAAATCCTTATGTTATTCGGAAAGTACCACATTCACAAAACAAAATATTTGCGGACTGTACCAAATGGTAAACTTGTTTTCATTGATCTAAAGATTTTTTATGATTCCTTGACTTCAAGTAATCCTAAAATATTTCATAAGACATCTAATAAATACTTAATGTACATGATTAATATGCTTGAGTTAAATGTATATACCATTTCATGTGTAACTCTGTATTCCTGTTTAAATCAATAAAATAAAAAAAGAAGTGGTCTGGTGGCCTCTAGTGGCTCCGTGGTGAACAGCAGGCACAAAAATGATAAGTCGGAGGCATTTCTGGAACATGTCAAGGTAAACCCGGGGTCAGCTTGCGGTTTTTCACGAAGCCAATGATTCTTTGTTCCTTGTTTTGTCTGGTCCTTAATCGTGGACCCCTTTGGTTTTTTTTGGCTCCGAATATCGAGAGATGTTTAGTTTACAAGCTTTACTCACCTCGCGGCGTGAAGTATGCGTTGAAAGGAGAGTATATTCGTCAGAGTAAACCTTACTTCAGATTTTATTACTTTACCACTTCCTGTGTCTCGATTCATTATTATCTCTGCATTAAATCAGCGTGATGCTGGTACTGATATGAAATGGCGTACAGTGTGCTGTAAGATCAGTCTCGTGATAACAGTCTGTG